AGTCCCAAAAGCTTCCTTAAAGCCTATATTACAGTTTCAGTAATGCTATAGAACATTCTATGACTCTTTCAAAACTTTAATAACTATACTTTATCTGTGATATTCATCTTGGAACGTTTCACATCTTACCCCCCTCCCACCTCTCCTAACACATCGCCTTTCACTGAAGAAAAGCCTAATAAATGTGTAATGAATGAATAGGAGGGTGGATCAATGGAAACATGATGACATAGACAAAAAAAGGCTCATAGACACCAATGAATTATTCAGACTGTGCTTAGTCGGTTATCAGGTACTATTGTTTTATACATAATCCTTAAGAGCTTAGTGTCAGATAATCTTAGGTAGAGAAACAAAGAAAAATGTGCTTCCCTCCTCATGCTTCACTGAGGATCTTTTGAAATTGTCTCACTTTTACAGCAACAATGTCAACTGTTTGAAGCTCAAAGTTGATTATCTTAGCTTTTATTTATTAAGCTCCAATTTTGGTTAACTTCACCAAACACTGCTTCTGGAAAGCACAGTCGGGGAAACGGATTCTCTTTCTTGCTGGAATCTCCAGCTAAACATTTTCCCGTGCTTGGAAATGTAGGAAATGATTACAACTGTATTAATGGGAAGTCATGAAACATTTGTTAAGTAGCATTCTCACAGACTGAGTCCATTTTCCCTGAGAATATTATTAGTAACTTCCAAATTGCTCATAAAACTGCATGTTTCCACTTAAAAGTCCATCAGAATACCTAATAGCTAATCCACCACTAAAGCAAAGTTAGCATCTGCTATGATAAATGCGCTATTACTTGAATGTGGGCTTTAGGAAATGCTGTGTAGAGCTGCAGTTACTGGCCGTGCTTTCTTTAGGGTCCAGTTACCCTTCCTTTCTTCACTTGTCAGTTCTAAGTACAAGCCAAGGCAATGACAGAATCATTTGTTTTACACAGTTTAGGACTAGTATGTCCAGAGCCATTGGAAATGCCACCTCTTTTCATGAGAAAACATTCTAGATTGTTCACAAATTCCTTCTGACCAGAATTCCTGGTGGGATGAGTTCCCTTGAGTCACCTTTTATCTCCACACAGGAATCTGGTATATCTGAGACTGACTGGGAGCCTTTTGCCATTCCTTGAGGGTGTGGGTCCTTGAAACTACAGGGAACTTATATCATTGGAAACCCACAATTAACATCTAAACAGAAGTAATTGTTTGGCAATGGTCTGGGATCATCTGATACACTGGCTCTGACTGGCTTGCATCCATCAACTAGTGAGCGAAGAGCTGTTCTGCTTGCCATCTTTGGTGTCTGAATCATTTGGCTCTAAACATATGCTCTATCCTTGGTGACTAGGATGGTTAGGAACTCCCGCGCTATTACCTTTCTACAACCCATACCCCATTTCCACAGCACACAGACACACAATACCTTTATCAATTTCTCTGACTATTCTTTCCCCTGGCGTCTCTGATAGACCAAGTTAAACCAATGTGTCCATGATGGTAACTCCCAAATCTATGTTATCTTCACCACCTCCATGTTCCCACTGTTCTGTTGCTCTTCCTCTTTATTAGATTTAAGCCCAGCCATGGGTGTTAAGATTTTAAAAACATAAATCAGCCACAACCCATGGAGTTTCTTGCAGAAACAGGAACTTCTGAATAGCAAAAGCTAGGAGGTTCATGGACTGAATGGTGCTAACTGGCTTAATGAGGATTTCTTTTCTGATATATACAGGGATCCTTTTCAAAAGCTGCAAAGAAGGAGGAAGAAAAACAAAGGGACTGCTCATTAGATAAAGTTTTGCTTTATGAATTGCTTTTCTCGTCAGCAAGCAGCAACCCAGACTGTGGAGTCTGCGGCTCTGGGTGCCTTGGGACATTTGTGTCATGTCCCGGTGTCATTCCCCTCTTGTCTAGTTTGCTCAATAAGTATAAAGCCAGGGTAGTGAGTGCTGTCGCTCTCTACCCAGGGTGCTCCTGATGCACCCTTCAGGGATGAAGCATTGCTTCCACTGGAAAATGGCGTATGGGTGTTTGTTGACTCTGGGTTGCAGCCTTTTCTAGAAATTGTTCTTCACCAAAGAGGTTCACTGGTCTCAAGGTTATGCGAAGGCATCCAGTGGTGGGACTATTAAAGACTAAAAAGGCCTTCTTATTCAATTCAGGATGTTTCTTCATGGCCACCCTAACCCTAGGAGGTCCATGGTGTCAGCTGAGGTCTTTTGGGAAACTTCATAAATAGTTAAAATTCTCCCTCTGCCCACCCGTACTTCAATGATAAACAAGTGTTGAACCTGATCATGTCCCAACAAACTTCATCCCCTCTCCCACCCCAACCTATACACACAAAACTCCATCTCAGGATCTGTATACTCAGCAATCGATCTTCTGACAGTGGCAAAATCCCTTTTACTTCTTTGAAAATACCAGAAACAGTGTATTTTAAGTTTGGTCTATAGTGCTGCGGTGGGTTGACACAGAGATGGGGGCATCCTCTGCTTTTCTGAGAAGGGGAGAAGGGGAAAGGGAGAAAAGGGTGGGAGGCTGGGTCCAGGAGGAGAGGAGGGGGCTGCAGTCAGATGTAAAGTGACTAAATAAATTTAATTTTAAAAATAGGAAGAGAGAGAGAGAGAGAGAGAGAGAGAGAAAGAAAGAAAGAAAGAAAGAAAGAAAGAAAGAAAGAAAGAAGGAAGGAAAGAGAAACTGAAAATTAGGAAGCTGACATCATAGTTCAATACTTATTTTTATAAAACAAGTTACAGTATTATAAAATTATTCAATGGAATAAAATGTAGTGGTTAGTTGACTGTCATGTATATTATAACAGTAAAAAGTACTGTATAAGAATACAAAAAATGTATAGTATGAAGCATGTTTTTAAGGAAATATTTCCAAGCAAACCTTTGCTTCTCTAGAAAAAATTAGAACCAAATCTCAATAATGGAAAACAGAAAAGAATATAAAAGTTGTAGAAAACTAAACAAAACTACAGAGAGTAAAAGAAATATTTTTACTAACAAGAAAAAATGGTTTTTAACAAAGGTCTTCATGAGAAAACCGAGTTGAAAAGACATAATAAAGTGTTATTATGATGTGTTTGTAAACTCTCAGGCTTGATATGGTGGAGTACACCTGTAATTTCCATACTCCTCAAGTGGAGGCAGGAAGATCAGCAGTTCAAGGTCATCCTCAGCTGCACAGTATGTCTGAGGCCAGCTTCCATTACATTCGATCTAGACTCAAACAACCAAAAGCAAAACAAAAACTTCAGAATTAGTGAGAAAGAAATTTAAATGCGCAATAAAACACCATGACTAAGAAAAGTTAGGTCTCATTAAACTAACCTAAGTTTTAATGTCCTTTCTTCTGTTCGATACACTTCTTTTCACTTGTGCTTTCCGTCAGTAACTTTGGGCATTTCTTTCTTTCCCTGCTCTCTTTTTCTGCCCTTTTCATTGCCTTTCCTCATGACGTATAAACCCACACCACTCCAGTCTTGTAGTTCCCAGTAAGGCAAGCCAACACAATTCCTGCTTGTGGGCTACCACTTCTGTTGCACTTTACACTGTTATTTTTAAAATTTCCTTCTTCCCTAAGTCTTCCGCATGTTTAAAACTAAGAATCAGAGAAAGCTTAAACCAGAATTGCCTTTGAAAAGCCAATTGCAAACTGACACATATTCTCTTATATAATCCAACTATGTCCTCTCCAGTTAAAAAGTGAACTGTCTCCAGAATAAAAGCTGGTATTTCAGAGTCCTTCCACTCTTGGCAACAAGTGGGGCCCTGGATCCTGGTAAGTAGCAACAGCTGATTTTGTAGCCATGGATGGTCCTACATCTGAGCCCAGACAGAGTAACAGAGGGTCTTATTGACTGTCTCTGGCTCTGGACCTTCTAAGTAGGCACTGTTTTCTGTTTACTTATCTTGGAGTTTTAAGCCTGAGACAATGTTGAACACAGTGTCAACTGGCCCTGGTGCCAGACAGGATCAGAGGCTCTGGAATATTTACAGTTTCCCTTCTTGTGTTTCTATAAATGAAATGGACAATCTGAATGGAGAAAATCAAGAACCAGCTGGCTAAAATCACAACTGGCAGCCAAACCCTTGGGCAGGTTCCAAGAGCTGGTGTCTAAAGAGAGGCCAATTTACAGAGCACATTCCAACTACTGGAGCAATGACTAGTACAATAGCTCTGACACGAAGCAGGAAAATCTCGCCTTGCTCAAACAATTTTCATTTCCAGAGTTTGGAAGCTAACTTTTCTTGTTCAGAAATGTTCTTATGTTACAAGTAAATCCCTCAAAAATAGCCTATTCTCCACAGCCACGGTAATGGCATATTTGTGCAATATACTCTGTAAATATAGAGTACAAGACACAGGGATAACGTCTTATTTTTTTTGTCTAAGTTCAAAGGTGAGATGGATCCAGAGAGAAACAAGGAAGGTCTAATAATTTAGTCGAAATAGCAGGACAGACAGCTTACCAGTGTAAACTAATTTTGGAGGTCCCTAATATGTCATGAGGTCAACTGAATAGCAAAGACTGATTTTTTGTATATATATATATAAGATAACTCCAGCTTTGATGGTTGAAAAAATGCTCAATGGTCTCTCTGAGGGATGGGAGTGTGGAGGAGTCACAGTGAAATACTAGAACTTCAGTAAATAAATGCTAATGACCCCCCCCCTTTACTAGGTTCCATTAAGGACAACCGCGGGGCTCTCTGACGGGTGCCAAGTCTGAAATACCGCCATCTCCAGAGGACAGTTGTACATACTATAGAACCGTCTTTTTTTCACAGGCTAGGAGTAGAGGAGTTTGAAGATGGTTTAGCAAAGCTCCTTTTTTCATGAACACGCATGCACGCACATGTGGCTGGAGAAAAGAGAAGAGATTCAGAGAAAGAAGCAAGCAGTCCCAGCAGGCGGCTTTATCCAGCCACTGCTCCTTGACTATATAAATCCGGAAACCGATACAGGCAGTCGCTAGAAGGCATTACCTCGATATAGGGCACGATCTTGCAGGAGAAATCTTCCAAAAGCCACTTCTTGGTCAGCTCGTGGAAGATGACCAGGGGGAGGCAGAAGAAGATGATGAGGAAGTCCCAGAAGGCCAGGTTGGCCAACAGAGAATTGGAGATACTCCTCATGTAGTAGTTGTGACACACGATACACATCACCGCCAAGTTGCCAATGATGCCGGTCCCAAATATCACTACAGATAAGCACATGACCGCGTAGGCTCCATAGGATTCCTGGGTCAGGGGGTAAAAGGGGTTCTTCAGTCTCACACGCCTGTTAGTGCTATTTCCACGGCGCGGACCCCCTTGGTCAGGGACCCAGTCATCTGAAGACCCGTTTTGTGGTAATGCCCTGCCTGGAGGAGCAAGGGTCCTCCCTTCGTGCATGGCTGGAGGCCTGTGGTGGGAACCCTGGAGTTGCCCAGTTCTTCGTGGCCAGTAAAAAAGATCTCTGGGTTCAGGTTCCGTTTTCACGCTCTGCTCGTGGCTGCTCCAGGGAATGTCAGCGCCCCCGGGACTCATCTCTTTCCCTTCAGAGGTCTGAAGGAAAAGCTGGGGGTCCGTGGGGTCCCTTCTCCCCAAATGTCCAGATGGCTCTTTACCCTGGGCACCTTTCCATCTCCGGGCGCCAGGTGGCTTGGTTGGAAGTCCCAAGGGTCCAGGAGGAGCCGCCGCAGCCACGGCCTCATCACTCACACCTGTGTCACCGCCCCTGGCCGGTGGGAGGCCCCAGGAGGTCGCCCCTCTCACCTCTGCTTCCAGTTTCCCCCTGGGCGCACGGACTCGCAGGACGTCTCCGGCAGAATTCCCAGGTCCCCGGGCATCCCTGCTGCGGCTTTGGATCATCAGTGGGGAACAGCCCGCTCCCAGACAAGTTCCATTCCTGGGTTCAGGGACAAAGCTCAGGGCAGCAGAGACAGAAACCTTCAGCAGCAGCAGGAGCAGCAGCGGCGATGTGCGCGAGAGAGGCGCGCCCCGGGCTGGCATGGCTCGGCGAGGGCGCAACCTAGCAGCCCTGCTCTCTCTTAGCACCGACACCTGCTGCCAAACTTGGTGCAGAGAGTTAGACTCATGTCACATACTCACCGCTGGGTAGTGGTGGGGAGCTGAAGATTGTGGGAGAGCAGGGACCAGGGCGCGCGGGGAAGGAGGGTGTCACCAACACACCCCTAAAACCCTTCCACGGTTGACGTCCTGTGCATTTCCCAGCCAGATCTAATCCAAGCTCTGTGCGCCGGAAGGTTCCGAGGGAAACAGCTGATCCACCAGGCTGACCTTGAAAAGTTGCGAACACCACCTGATTGTTGCCTAATGTTGCGACTGGGCTCAGCCCGGAGGAAGCCCCGCGCTCCTCCCAGCCTTTGGGTGGTGGCTGCCTTCTTGGTAACAGTTGCTCTGCTATTTACATCCTTTCCGAACAGCTTTATCCAGTCGTTAGCCGAGGTCTCTAGAGAGAAAGGAAAACAAGTCCCCTCCACCAGGGGACTAACTGTCACAATCCCACTCGCGGCTGGGCTGGCGGGGGACCCGTTGCAAACAGGCAACGCTGGTGCTGAGAGGAAACTCCTGCCTCCTCTAACTCCGGCGACTTTCGAAGGGACTGTTGCCAAGGAGAAGCCAGATTCCGAACCAGCGGCCGCTGTCAAAGTTGCTGCTTCGTCGGCTCAAAGTTGACAAGGGGATGGAGCCGGCGGCTGCGCTTTAGCGCACGGACTGAGGAGGGTGGAGGGAGAGGGGGGAGCGGGAGCTGCTGCTGTTTTGTGCACAGTGCTGTGGGCTGCAGGAGCTTGTCCCTGCCACCACCATCTCACCCCGGGTGGAGAGCGTGGTGCCTGGAACCGCCTCAGGCGGGCGGAGCGGTGCGTGGTCCGCAGGGGAGGTGGCCCGGCCTCTCAGCCGCTCAGCCACTGCGCGCGCCCCGCTTCAGGCCTCCTCCCTCTCCTTCTCCTTCGAGCAGAGCATCTGGTTTGTGGAGAGACGGGATCCCCTGGTGGTTTTACCACACACTAAACCCACACACGTTTCATTCAAGCCGTTCACAGCGGCTTTCAGTCGGAAGCTGGGAGCAACCAGGGAACAAGGGCGGAGGCGCCGAGTCTGCGCGGCTAGAGCCGAGGACATGAACTCCATGAATTACTGCCCTAGGTAGTCCAACTAGCCCGATGTAACCCTTCACCACCCAGAAGAGAGGCGGATCTCGGGACCCCGCGTGCGGGCGGGGATCCCAGGAGAACGTAGAAAGGGCGAGACTCCTGCAAGCGGCAACAATTGGTAGCAACTGGCGCGCATGCTCAGGCCTCAGACTCCCCGGGGAGTAGTGACACATTCACAGTCTTAGATTCCCCAGAGCAGAGACAGAAGAGAAGCAGAGTTCACAGGCATCACGCACTCCGGGAGAGAGCCGGTTGTAACGTGAGAAGGCCGCAGGTGCTCCGTTACCTTTGACGTTGACTTTGAGAGCATCCCGCTAGGCCGTGGAAGTTAGGGCAAATTGCCCCGAGCAAAAGGAAAGCAGCATCTGGGATGTGCTGAGAACTGAGAACTGACAGCAGAAGGGGGCTGAACTCCCAGCATGCTGTCCATGCTTTTCCAACGTTTATATACCCATAGCCCTGTATAGCAATCATGGTAAAGTCAATAAAACAAATATCAGACCAAATAAGGAAAAAAGGAAGAAATGCACATACTGTGAAAGAGACAAAGGCAACAAAAGAAGAATTATCTAAGGACACGAGAGAGAAAATACAATAAAAACATAAGAATCGTAGTCAAGAGCCTCAAGCTGTCTGCATCCTAAGCACTGGCATTTGTGAATATGAGCTCACATGGCAAAAGGGACTCTACAGTGAGATTTATTAAATATCCACAGATGGCAAAAGTGTCATGGGTTACAAAGTGGCGCATTGTAACTAGTGGGACCCAACATGAGAAAGGTTAAGAAAGTGGAGAGAAATGGGAAGGTGAAACCAGGCCACAGGCTTAAAGAATGAGAGCTGGGATACGGGACACAGTTATATTGTCTCCTCACCCTAATTCCTGCCTCTGACTTCTAGAACTTTTTTTTTTTTTTTGCATTTCACTTTAGTAAATTTGCATTCATTTTTTTCAGAGCAGTGATATTACACTAATGAACAAGTCAATCTGAAAATGTAAACAGGATGAATATTACAAAAAAATACAAACCCCACAAAATCACTTAAGGAAAAAACACACATAAACAGTAAAGCATTCAAAAAACCAAATCGCTTATCAATATGTACTCACAAGGAAGCACTGGGCCTTAAATACAGTCTGAGAAATAAATTTACTTTTATACAGAATGTTTGAAGTGTATCCAACGCTCTTCTGAAGCCACGGTGACTTTATAATTAGTGGACACCAGGCAGTAAGCAGCAGGTTCTATGGTTGAGACCAAGAACTCAAGGGACAGCAAGTGCTGGTGAGGAAGTGCAACCACTTTGGAAATCAATCTGGCACTTTCTCAGAAAATGGGGAATAGGGCTACTTCAAGACCCACCTATACCACTCCAGCTATACCCAAAAGATGCTCCACCATACAACAAGAACACTTGTGGCTTTATTTGTAGTAGTCAGAATCTGGAAAAAAAACCTAGATGTCCTGCAACTGAAGAATCAAAAAAGAAACTGTGGTGCATTTACACAATGAAATACTACCAGCTATTCCAATGGGGGGGGGGGGTCAAGAAATTTAGAGGAAATGGATGGAAATACAAATATCATCCTGAGTGCGGTAACCCAGACCCAGAGAGACACACATGGTATGTACTTACTAATAGGCAGATTTTACCCATATAGTACAGGATAAACATACTACAGTTTGAAGACCCAAAGAAGATAAGTAACAAGGAAGACCCAAGGGAGGGTGCTGGACTCTCACTTAGAATAGACAGTGGTAGTGGCTGAAGAGTGGGAACACGGAAGGAGAGGGAGTGCAGAGAGAAATGAAGGTGGAGATCGGACTTGGGGGGAGTGGGGTCAGAGGACAGAAGGCCTACATAGAGAAGAGGAACCATGGGCAGAGGCATCTCGGTGACAAGCCAGAGACCTAAGGCGGCTTAGGCTTCTGGGAGGATAGGGGGGTGACATTAGCTGAGACTCCTACTAGCAGAGGTCATAGAGACTGAAGAGGATACCCACTAACTTGGCAAGCTCCTTTGTGGATGGGGGCACACCAGCCTGCCCACAAAAACTTTGACCCAAGATTTACCCTGCCTACAAGATGTGCAAGTGTAAAGATAGAGCAGAGATTGAGGGAATGTCCAACCAAAGCCTGGTCCAACCGAGACCTAGCCCATAGGAGAGAGCCAACCCTTGACACCATTAATGATATTCTGATATGCTTGCAGACAGGAGCCTAGCATAGCTGTCCTCGGAGAGGCTCCACCCAACAATGGATCGAAACAGATGCTGAGACTTACAGCCAGACATTGGGTGAACTGTAGGGAGTCTTGTGGAAAAGAACCTGGAGGTGACAGGAGCTCCATAAGAAGACCAACAGAGCCAACTAACCAGAGCCAAGAAGTGCTTGTGGCAACTGAAGCGCCAACCAAGGACCATGCATGGACTGGACCTAGGCCTCCTACACAGATGTAGCTGATGGCAGCTTAGGCTTCATGTCAGTCAGTCGTGTAGTAAGGGGAGCAGGGGCTGTCTCTGACATGGACACTTTGCCCGATTTTTGATAACTTCTGCTTAGTGAGGCCCTTACCAGGCCACAGGGGAAGTGGAAGCACTCAGTCCTTATACGACTTGATGAGCTGGAGTGGGTTAGTAGGCAATCTCCCTTTTTCTGAGGAATAGGAGAGGGGGAAGGAGGAAGAGAGAGAGAGAAAGGCCAGGAGGAGAGAGAAGTAGTTACAATCAGGATGCAAAGTTAATAAATAAATAGTTTTTTTTTTTAAGAAAACAAAACAGTTTCTATGGGTTCTAATATTCATTTGCATATTTCTTGATCTATTTATACATGTTAATTGTTTCAAATTTGTGTAACATTAACAAAATAGTTTGGGTCAATTAGAGCAGATCAATAAACAAAAATGAAGTTTTCTTCTCACTGAATTTATATTCTTTTGGTAGAGACAGGATAAACAGATAAGTAGCATTATTGCATTTTACGTTAGGTGGTTGCTATGGAGAAAGAAAGAGTAAGTGTCCATAGATACTTAGAAGCCAAGTATCCTTTCCTAGAGACAGTTGGCAACAGGTAACCCTTCCTAGATGTTAAGACTACATAAAGTAAAAGGGTTAAAAGTAGCACAAATTAGCACAAGATGGCCAATAACACAAGGAAACAGAAAACAGAGAGACATACATAAATATATACAGGAATTTGATAAGCATTGGCACCACAAGTGGTAAAAATCCATTAAAGCATGAACAAATGGTGCCAGGGAAAGTTGACAATCATATTTTCCTTCTTTGTGCTACCTGTATTACCTACTTTTGATTAAAGACCTAAAAACAGAAGTAAGTATTTAAATCTTAGAGAAGAATATTTAAAACAATGTCATTACCACATTAAAGTAAAAACAGCTTCATTAGATTGAAGCGAATAGAAGAAAATAATGGTTAATGTGACTAGCTTAAGGTTTACCCATTCCTGAGTTAGTGAGGCCTCGATCTATGCGGCCACAGGTTGGAATGACAATGTGTTTGGGAGTATTGGGAAGCAAAGGACCAGGTATGGGAAAGCTTGGCTTCAATCAGTCTTAACAGGCAGAAGCTTGAAAGTGGACGATTTAATGGGTTACAGTTCTAGAATTGAAAAAAAAAAAAAAAGAAAAAAAGAAAGAAAAGAAGAAAGATGGAAGACCGCAGCTGAGCACCGGCATTCTTTCTCTGCTCTATCGCCGCAGACACAGTGTGCCTGAGACCACTCCCTGCAGCAATAACCATGTCACCTCTAAACTAAGAGCCATGATAGACTCCAGCCCAGTCAGATGCTTTCTCAGGAATTGCTCACAGCGTTGAGCAAAGTAACCAATATTGAACATGTGTTCTAAAGAGACTTTGGAAGGGGACCCCTACACGTACTATACTCCATGGGAAGGTGTATTAGTATGGAATTTTTGAAGTTTGCTGGGGACAAAGAGAAGCAAGTGTTACAGTGTGACTAATGGATGCTGTGGCCTTAGGGTTGTCTACTTTGCTGCGTTTTCTCTAAAAGAACGACATCCTGCAAATTTCAGGATGTCCTTGTTTTTAACTGCTCAGTAGTGTTCCATTGTGTAAATGTACCACAATTTCCGTATCCATTCCTCAGTTGAGGGACAACTGGGTTGTTTCTACCTTCTGGCTATTACAGATAAAGCTGCTACGAACATGGTTGAGCAAATGTCCTTGTTGTATGGTGGAGCATCTTTTGGGTATGTGCCTAGGGGTGGTATTGCTGGGTCTTGAAGTAGAAATATTCCAAGTTTTCTGAGAAAGTGCCAGATTGATTTCCAAAGAGGTTGTACAAGTTTGCATTCCCACCAGCAATGGAGGAGGGTTCCCCTTTCTCCATATCCTCTCCAGCAGAAGTAGAAAGACACACATGGTATATCCTCATTTATAAGTTATTAGACACATAATATAGAATAAACATAATAAAATATGTATGCCTAAAGAAGCTAAGCAAGAAGGAGGACCCTAGGGAAGATGATCCATCCTCATTCAGAACAGGATAGACATTGGAAGCAGGAGAAGACCAGGAACAGAACAGAAGCCTTCTACAGAGGGCCTCTGAAAGACTCTACT